ATTTTTCTTTTATGCCAAAAATCATTAGTATATTAAGTAAAGATCATGTTCCATGAAGATATTTTGTACATTTCCTACCGTAAATATATCAAAACTTAATTTTTGATTAGTAATATGCATTGCTAAGAACTTCATTTGGACAACTTTAAAGGCTTTTTCTCAGTATTTAGATTTTTTTGCACCCTCAGATTCCAGATTTTCAAATAGTTGTATCTCAGCCAAATATTGTCCTATCATAACAAACCATACATCAAAGCTTATTTATTCAGCTTTCAGATGATGTATAAATTTCAATTTCAAAAAATATGGTTTTGTGGTCCAGGGTCACATATATATATATATATATATATACATACACACACTTCCGTTCAAACATTTAGAGTCAATAAAATTTTGAATGTTTCAGAAAGAAGTTTATGCACACAAGGCTGCATTTACTTAATGTAAAATACAGTAAAAACTATAATGTAATATTAATAATTAAATGTAAATTATTAATAATTTAAATAAAAAATCTGTTTTCTGTATGAATATATTCTAAAATGTAATTTATTTCTGTGATGCAAAGCTCATTTTTCAGCATCATTAGTCTTCAGTTTCACATGATCCTCCAGAAATCATTCTAATATGCTGATTTGCTGCTCAAGAAACATTTCTTCTTATTATTAATGTTGGAAACAGTTGTGCCACTTAATATTTTTGTGGAAAGTATGATACATTTTTTTCAGGATTCTTTGATGAAAATTTATAGCTCAAATAGCTCATTATTAATTGGTATTAAAAAAAACATTATACATTTTGAATGGTATAGTGTAATTTCTTTTTTTTTTTAGAGTTAAAAGGGATCCGTATATATTCCTGACAGGTTTCATGCAATGCACAGCCTACCTGGAAGCTCATTTCACTTGTTTATAAATTTTAAGACTCCAAAAACAATATCACATGACATTATGCATTATGCATAGTCTTCTTTACTCATTATTAATTGGTATTAAAAAAAACATTATACATTTTGAATTTTGAATGAATGATCCGTATATATTCCTGACAGGTTTCATGCAATGCACAGCCTACCTGGAAGCTCATTTCATTTGTTTATAAATTTTAAGACTCCAAAAACAATATCACATGACATTATGCATTATGCATAGTCTTCTTTTTGTTGAAATCATAATTGAAAAGAAACTCTAAGGACAGTCCTTTAGGCAGCTTTTAAGCATAAAAAACTGCCTTCTGTAGCCTGCTTTGGTCTGGCTCTCTGTCTGATGTGTGAATGACGGCAGAGGGGGGTGGGGAGAGGAAGGGCTGGCTCCGCAAGCCACTGCGTTGCTGACATCAGGAGGCTAATGATGTCATAGTGATGTCAATGGCACTGACAGTGACTGCACACTTAGCTTGTGGTTTGGGCAGCATTGCATGCTGACAGCAGAGAGAGAAAGACAAGCTTTCAGCTCACTATACATGGCTGTGACTGGAGATGAGACAGAATCAGGTATGTCCGCTGTTTTCTGTGGCTCTTATGTGGTTTTCAGCATGTTTAACATTGGGAACTTGCTTTAAAAATTGCATTTTAAATATCTTAGTTTAGTTTGGCTGTTTTTGAAATTGATTGGGTCATTTTAAATTCCAACTGACTGTTCACAGAACATGAACGGACAAACAACATTTCAAATGCTCAAACAAAACTTTGAAGTTTTGGTAGAGACACAGAGATTGTACTGAGAAAACGATATACGATTTGTATCAAATCTGTTCTCTCGTTATATTTTTGCGATGAATCATCTCTGTAGCATGCAACAGGCTGAAAGAATGAAATGTTCACATTTTTGCTTCCTGTTGAGTTCCTCTGTAGCTCTCACTCGTTTCTTTCAGCACCTCTGTCGCTCTCTCTCTCTCTGAAACGCGTGAATGCGCTGCCCACTCACAGAGCAGCTGACGTCATGTTGTTTCCTGGAATTGGACACCAGCAGGGAAATGTAAATGCTGAACGGCAAATAAGATGTACATTGACGTCAGTTCAGAGTCATGCTGTGATTACAGGCAGCTCCTTTTGCGAGAGCAAGACTACCAGATTAATCATCTCTTTTAATACGCTGCAGTCTCCACGGAGACAAAGAGGATCAGACACATGTAAAGAAATGTTGCTGTGCATTTTTTCGCCATTGTTCATGAGCTTTTTGAAATTATTTAACTTGTTTCAATGAAGAGAGATAAAAAATGTGTTACTATGTGAAACAGTTTTTTAACTGTGACCACATAGTGGGTTGCTACTAGAGGAAATTGAATCACGTTGTTTTCATAAGAGCGTTTCACCCTGCACAAATACTGTATGTTGGAGCTCTTATTGGTGAGCAATCCAGTTTACAACCACACTACGAGTAGATCTGTGTATAATCTACCACTGTGACATACTCAGAGGTCACACAATGTGTTTGCTGATCTCCAGTGGGTATTAATTCACCACCTTTGGTCCTTGCAGACATTTGATTCAGTTGATCTTTAGGCCTGTTTAGTAACACGGTGATATTCATGGACTCATGACATCAGACTTCAGAATGAACTCTGTGTCAGTATAATCTTTTTCAATCTGTTTAATTTTATTTCTATTTATATTATGTTTATGCATATGCATTTGGATAAATTCTTATTTTAAATTTGAGACAAACATCAATGTCATTTTAGATTAACCTCTCTGATTTTATGTTTTCTGACTCTCAACCACAATGACATCTAAATGTCACCACTACTTTGCTTGTGAAGTGTGTAATTGTGTTATGTGGTGGATTTTAACAAACTGGCCAACTCATTTCAGAGTATAATTTTCCAAAAATTTAGTTTGCCAGCAGTGTTAGTATGTTTCAGAAAGCAATAAACATAAAATTACTTGTATATTATGTTCATATTGGGGCTCAGTCCAAAACACCTGGGCCTGGAAATTAATCTCAAAATTCCAGGCTGGACCTTCAATATAGAAAAAGAAAATATTATAAGATAAATACTAGTTTCAGTAATAGTTAGATGTCAAAGGCATTAAGTCATTCATCTTTGCCTCATGGTTGTTTATTGGAAACTGCCAGGGTTTTCACTCATTCTCGACAATCTGGAATTTTGTAGTGCATGTTATGGGAAATAGGAGAAATGCTTTCAGTAAATGTTCTGAAAAATAATTAGTTGTTCTTGTTGTAGTATAATGTTAACTCTCTTTCTTTCTTTCTTTCTTTACGTACTTACTTACAGAGGTGTAAAGTATTGGAGTAAATGTAATTAGTTACTGTATACTTGAGTATCTTTCTGGATACTTTGTAGTTGTACTGAGTATCAAAGATATTAGCAACTTTTACTCTCTACTTCACTACATTTTTGAATGAGTATCTGTACTCTTTACTCCACTACATTTGAAATGAGTGTTGCAGTTACACATTACATTTTGCATGGACCTAACTTTTTCTGCAGCAGTTTATTTCTGCTACAAAAAGACGTGATAGTGCCTATTACAGGTCACTGAAAGTACTGCATACTGTGCATTTTGCCCGAGAGGCAACCTCCCTCTCTCTCTCTCTCTCTCTCTCTCTCTGTCTCCTGAAGCCAACACGGAAGTGACTTAAACTGTAATTCGTCAACTGGCCGCTAGAGGCTGGCTGCAAAAGGGAGTCAATCCCATAGACTCCCCATGTTAAAATGCCTAACTTTACAGCAGAAAAAAACATGTTTACAGCCTGGTTCAGCACCTTTATTTTTAAGAGAGTACTTTATGTGAATGCGAGTTCCTTAGCAAGTATTTGTGAATCACAGGAGTTTAATATATAAGATGAGGACATGACTGCAGCTGGCAATGAGGCCAAAACCAGCACAGCCAGTGCAAGAAGGCTTTGGCTTTATAATTTTACTTAACATTATTTTATTTATCCATTATACTGAAGAGACCTTTTTGAAGGATATTGTTTTTTTGTTTGTTTGTTTTTTTGTTATGTAATTTTGAGGTGTTTAGTTTTATTTTGGTTTTAGATAATAAACGTGATTGCTCTCCTCTCAAATCAACTCTTTCTTGTTTTTGTTTCATGCTCTCTGTGCCTTGCCCTGGACTTTTATTTCACTTCCTGTCTCCCATGGTGTTTGCAGTCAGTTTGTAGTCCGTTTGTTCATTGGTTCCCCTTGATTAGTCCCCCCAGGTGTGTCTTTTTATCTTGTTAAAGGTCCCCTGAAATGCTTAGAAACATGCAGCATTACTCTATGAGTTGACGTAATTTTAACTGAAACAGGAAGACAGGGCAGGACATATCAAGCAGCCCCGCCCCTTTTTAAAATAGCCAATAGCGTTCGTTTATATCACAGCTTGGGCTAGAGCCGTTCAGAGCCGTTGAGCTTCGTAAACCCGCATTTGACAGGGTATGCCAGCCACAATCTCATCCATATTGCTATAAAATATAGCATTCTGTGTAGAATTCAAATAGCTCCGATACATTTTGTGGTCTGCGCCGACTCGCCCTGTGTGTATATATAGCCCTAGTTTTTCTTTAGTTCCTTGTGAGTTGTTGAATGTAATTGTTTGCCAGTCATTCTGTTCTCTGTTCTTTGTTCCCTTTGGTTTTTGGCTTATTGTTTGTTCTAGTTTACCAATTAAATACCTGCACATAAATCCTTGCCTCTGCCTTTTTCCCCAGCTTCTCCACAACATTATAGTTTTTCACTGGCATGTCTCTTTGACTAGTGCATCTTTGAGCCTATATTTAGTATAAGTAAAATACTTAAGTACTGTTAAAATCAGATACTCTAAGACTTTTACTCAAGTTGTTTTGGAATTGGTGACTTGTAACGTGTAGTGGAGTAATTTTCACTGTAAGGTATCTGTACTTTTACTCAAGTATAGTTTTTAGGTACTCTTTACACCTCTGCTTACTTAATCTATTGGCACCAAAAAGCTTTTATACACTTCCTTTTGTGACATGTATTGTTTGAAAAATGTTGTTCTATCATAGCATGGCTATAACACCCAAAACAGCCATAACAATAACCACAATATCACACTTCCTTTCACTGATTAAATATTGCAGGTGTTGGGCTTGCAAAAATGATGACCTCGGATCATTGTGAGAGAGTTTTGTGCTAGTTGGTTAAACAGTTTTATTTTTTTGTAAAGAACAGTTACTGTACAATTTATTTTTAAAAAAAAAATTGAAATATTTTTGTGGTAAGGTCAATGAAAATATTCTGAACATGAACAAATCTGAACTACTGGCCTGACTGGGCCAGCAACAAAATCCTTGTTACCTGTGATGGAAACACAAAATATGCAGTCAATGTGTTTATAAAATAATGTCTTTGAAAATATTGGGAACTGTTCCTCTGTTAACTAATGTGTTGGTGTGTTTTTGCAGCCACCACTGGAGGTATGTCTGCGTATCAGATTTCCTCTCCTGCATCTGGCCTTTCCCAGGCAATGGACGGCTCACCCGGCTCTCTGCCAAGCCCTCAGCAGCTGACTGAGGAAGCATCATGTAAGAGGGAACTCCGACTGGTGAAAAACAGGTATTGCCCAGCTGCCCTTTCCTATTCCAGAATTACTACTGCATTCTGTAGCCTAAGAGCATGAAATCATTATAGCAGCTCATTGCAGTCCATCTTGGTGTGTTGCTTGGTCTTTTCCTCAGTTCTTTCTGCACCTGAGGCCTTACATGTTCTTCAGTTGCATCCATTTGTCTGCTTTCAACTTCTGATGAGGTCAAAGGCTTGTATTCTTTGCTTGTAGCCTATCACTGCATCATGCTTGATGATGTCTCAGTGTGTGGAGCATGTGCTAAAAGCTTTCTTTGTTTCATGACGATGCTTTGAATGGAAAAACCAAGCCTGTGGAATCATTTGCGTTATACATGCAACTAAAAAAACACTCATTCACAACTCAAGTTTTCCCGGTTTGGACTTGCTTTTACAAGCTCTGCAGTTCTGACTTGCATGAAGTGGGACCTGTAAACACAATGTAAGATTTACAGTATTCACGCTCACAGAGCTTCTCTGTTGTTGCTTTCAGGGAAGCCGCCCGGGAATGTCGGCGGAAGAAGAAAGAATATGTCAAATGTCTCGAGAACCGAGTCGCCGTGCTTGAAAAACAAAACAAGACGCTTATTGAAGAACTCAAGGCTCTTAAAGACCTATACTGTCACAAAACCGAATAACAACAGTCCATTGCAAGCCAAAACACGAAAGACTATACCCTTTACAGAGCAAACGCGCTTTTCACGTAATGTCTAGCCACCGCTCGTAATAATAATCGGATAAGGTGATAGCTGCATGGTTGTGTCGTCCCGTGTGCGAAAGATTGTGACGTGTGCATGTGTATACGCTGGAGGCCCAAGTGCTCCAGAGCCAGTCAATGTGGTGTGTTGCCCGTGTTGCTTGTGCTTTTGCAGGACGGCGGCCAAAGAGTACAGACGCAGGAAGAAGGACTATGTGCATAGCTTAGAGATGCGCATCGCCATCATTGAAAACCAGAAGCAGAAAATGACAGAAGAGCTGGACAGTCTAAGGCAAATGTACGCTGGAAAGTCCAATTCAATTTAGTGGCACACTAGACTGCTGCTATCTGTTTTGATTCTGTTTTACTGTAAAATATTGTTGTGCCATATGTGTGTTTTATATCTTCTGTGAAAATTTAACAGTAGACCAGCACTGCCTATTCTCATTAGGCTTTTTTAAAAAGATTTTATATTGACAATTGGATTATATATTTCAAATATTTACTATATCTACTTTAAGAGAAATATTTAATTTAATATCAAAGGACCGCGTATATGAGTCATTCACAAACACACCAGCTCCACAACTGATATGAATATAGCTACTGTATATACTTACTGTAATAAATATAGGATAAACCGATATGTGTTATATAGATGAAGTGTTTTTGTGTTTATAGCATATTAATCCAAAGTTCAGTTCAAAAAATTTAACTAAATATACCAAATATTGTAACAAAAATTAAATATTGTTTGTAACAAATATATTCTTGAATCCTTCCTGGTGTTTTTTTCAAGTGGTACAGTCCTTCAGAGTTTCCATTGAGACTATCAGTACAGTTTTATGTTTATCTTTAGTTTATGTTTAAATAAATTTATCTAGCTCTCCATTTGGTGGCGTTTTGTTGTTGCTTTTTATGTTGAGGGATCTGTGTTTGGAAATGTTTCACAGTGCAGTCATTAATCACTGTAACTTCAAGTTCAATTCAATTCAATTCAAGTTTATTTGTATAGCGCTTTTCACGATACAAATCGTTGCAAAGCAGCTTTACAGAAAATTAAGTTTAACTTAACTTAATTTTTTTGTAATACAGAATTACTTTTAAATGTTCTCTGTGTATTTCATGCTCACTTTTAAGACATTTGGACTAATAGAATAATGACGTCTTAGCATTTTAGCACATGAAATTTTGATTTCTTACGATTATTCAAGAGGCACAAAGCAAGTCCGGTTATTAAAACATAAAACATTTTAAAAATAGTTTAGATTAACCATATGTTCATTTAAGTAATGGAATTTAAGAAATAATTTCGAAATGTTCAAGATAAATTTTACAGATACAATTTAACAGCCCAAAACAAACAATCTTTGTATCTGTGTGTAGACACTCCCACTAGCTGCGGCTGTTAGAGTAGTTTCCTAATCGACTGCGCATGCGCAGTATACCGTCAGAGGGGCGAAGCAAGAACGGATCAAAACAGACGCTTTACATTAGCTTTTAGGGGCTCTGTTGTTATTTCTAACAACATTTATAACAGCAGGCTTCCCAACATCGAGGAGACTGAAACACCAGGAAAAATAAACCAGACTAAACCGAAATTAGTACCACAGTTACGCAGTCAGACGCCAACTACTAACGACTCAAGGTAAGATATTCATAACGTTACTTTTAATGGCATAAAATCGAGATCCTTACCTTACAGTGTTGCTGTAGTTAATGCAATTATTTCCATAGCTATATGAGCCTAACGGCAAAACAGATGACGTCACGGTAAATAAAGATGCATTCCATATGTTTCATAAATGCAAAAGAAAAAAGGTTTTTATAGCATGTAGGCTAGATTTATTATTGAAGACAATGTTGATAGATGAGAGAAGCAGAACCTTTTCCTATTTTTGTTTGATTATACTTTTTTTTTTTTTTGCGTAATTTAAGTGAATATGTTTCTGCATAGCTTAATGCTAGTAATAATAATACCAGGGTAATACCATGTTTCTTTTGGATATGTACCAGTTATTCTGGGAAGTACCTTGGAGTTTATGTACATACCATAGTACACAAATATGCTGATCATGTAGTACTAAGTTTATAGGAAAACTTGTGTTCTATTACCATTTGATAGTACCCTGCTTTCAGTATGGGTAAATAACTTAAATAAATGCCATTTCACTTAATAACCACCTATAAAACGTCTTAGAAATCTATGATCAGTGGTGAGATCTGACATGTAATGACAGCACTGATATTAAAGGGGTCATATGATGCTGCTAAAAAGAACATTATTTTGTGTATTTGGTGTAATGAAATGTGTTTATGCGGTTTAAGGTTAAAAAAACACATTATTTTCCACATACTGTACATAATTTTTTCTCCTCTATGCCCTGACTGACCAGGGCCTCGAGTTCCGTCTTCTGGGTTGCCGACAGCTGTGGATCTACGTCCACTACTGGAGGGACGTTATGGGCCAGCGCGGCGAGTTGCTCGGGCCGAGGAACCCACTTCTTGAGCAAGTTAACGTGGTAGATCTGCTCCGTTCGTCGGCGGCCGGGTTGCCGCACACGGTACGTCACCGGTCCCATTCATTCCACTACTGTGTAGGGTCCCTGCCAGGTCGCTAAAAATTTACACGCAGCTGTCGGGACCAGTACCACCACACGATCGCCTGGCTGGAACTCCCGGGCCTGGGCGGGCCGGTCGTACAGGCGTTGCTGGGCGCGCTGGACTGTCATGAGGTGTTCTTTAACCAAGGGCATGACTCGGTCAATCCTTTCTCTCATCTCCCATACGTGCTCGACGAGGCTACGAAGGGGGGCGGGTTGGTTCTCCCACGATTCCCGAGCGACGTCTAGAAGGCTCCGGGGCTGTCTCCCAAACAGCAGTTCGAAGGGGGTGAAGCCTGTGGAGGCCTGTGGTACTTCCCGGACTCCAAAGAGCACGTACAGGATCATGAGGTCCCAGTCACGCCCATCTTCGGCCACCACCCGCTTCAGCATTCGTTTGAGCGTCTGGTTAAACCTTTCCACTAAGCCATCCGTCTGCGGGTGGTAGACCGACGTCCTCAGATGTTGGACCTTGAGGAGCCGACAGAGGTCCGCCATGACCCGGGACATGAAGGGGGTACCCTGGTCAGTCAGGATTTCCTTTGGGATCCCGACTCGGCTGGCCAGCAGGAATAGTTCTCGGGCAATGTTCTTGGCGTTTGCCGCACGAAGAGGAATGGCTTCCGGGTACCGGGTGGCGTAGTCCAGGATGACTAGGATGTGCTCATGTCCCCGGGCAGACTTCGGCAGCGGTCCCACCAGATCCATCCCGATCCGCTCGAAGGGCACATCGATGACGGGTAGTGGAATGAGCGGGCTGGGTGGGAGGACGACACGGAGACGTCTGCTGGCAGGTGGGACAGCTACGGCAGAAACGTTTCACTTCCGCCTCTAGTCCGGGCCAGTGGAAACGGTCCCGGATGCGTTGGACGGTATTTTCGGCCCCGAGGTGCCCCGCCATCGGGTGGCCGTGTGCCAGCTCCATGACTGTCTCTGTCTTGTTGTTAGGCACGACCAAGAGGAATTTTTCCTCCCCCCGCCTGTGGGCGACATCTCTGTGACGATACATCGTCGTATCGATATTTTGAACACAGCACTAGTTTTAGGTAGGTGTGGCTGACTCTTAACTTTTATAAAGAATATCTCTTTGGATTTGAGACTTTAGTCTTTGCAACTTTACAGATCTTCTTTATGCACCAAGAGCTTGTAACAAGAGAAAGGAAAAATTGAAATCGCATCATATGACCCCTTTAAGTCAAGTTTTGCATTCAAGAGCCTCCATTGTTCCTACCACACAGAATCGCACAGTGACTCCTCACATACCTCCTCTCATGCTCAAGGTTTCTGTTTAAATTACTGTAGCCTACAGCTCATTCTGCTCAAGCACACACACCTTTCTGTACGAAAACACCACCTATCAATCACACTACTATATAATTCACTCTTATAGTAAGATTATACACTAAAATATTATTTTATAATATTATTATTATTTTATAATACAAAGTATAACTGGTTATCCATTTAAATAAACTGATATACAGTATTATAATGAAAAACACCTTAAGTAGTAAGGCTCCATTTGTTCACATGGAAAATACTTCTGAAGAATTTATTAAACTCAGTTAATGTTAATATGCTAATACATTATTCAAATCAAAAGTTGTATCTGCTAATATTATTTAAAGAACCTGAGATAACATGAACTAAAATTAATGAGATTAATAAGTACTGTATCAAATTTATTGCTCATTTTAGTTAATGCATTAACTAATACCAACTAATAAGTGTTACCATTATAATTACAAAGTTGCAGCAAAAAATATAGTTCAAATTGTATTGTATAAAAATATATAATATAGAGAAAATACAAAAACAGACTACATATTGTCTAAATAAAACAACTGCTAATAAATAAATCTTACAGAATCTTACAGTGTAAACCTATGTTGAATATATTATTCATGTATGTTTCCTACTCAATATACTTTCATACACAACATAATTTAAATACATTATTTGCCTTAGAGAGACTTGAGTAATCTGTGTGAACAGTTATGTTGCAACTAGTTGCAAGTTGATGTAAGATTCGCAAAATAGTGTTGTTTCCAATTGTTAATTTAAATGAAATTGTCTTTGAAAAAAACAAACAAGCAACATTATAGAGTACAAATTAATATAGTATAGACTGTATAGAGTACAAATGAGATATGACCTAAATCAGAGTCTGCTATGAATTTATTTGAGCAGAGTGAATGCTAGTCACCATTATTAGTTCATAATAAACAACTATTTAAAATGAAACAACATCAGCGACACTTAATAAATCCATTATTGATTCTAAACTAAACACATTGTCATTCTTTAGATACAGAACCGGTCTGATTCAATCAGAATG